GTCCATAATCCAATCCTTGATCACCCTCGGACCGTATACTCGCGAAAAACACAAGAGAGGGAGAAAAAGTGGAGGCAAACGCCGAACGAGAAATAACGTTACGGCCCCTTTCAACGTGCGGGTGCGGGGGTATGGGCAGGAGGGGGGGAAATTGCATCCGATATAAGAGCGCCATAAGAGCGGCGCGGCGGCGTGCCAGCGCCATCAGCAGCGAGAGCTGGCGGGAGCTGGCGAGAGCTGGCGAGAGCGCTATAGGGCCTCCTGGTGCTGACGGGCCGTACCCCAGTGAGTAAGCACAGACTGAACAGAAAAGGGTTCAGTGGCGGGGCGGCCAAAAAAAAAAAATCACCCGGTCGGTAATTTATTTGAGGAAGGGGTGGGGAGCCGAGAGGGGGCCGGGATGAGAACCGGGCGGGGGAGCGAGCTAGCGGCTCGCGTCTCCGCGGGGCCCGACCGGGGCTCCTTTGGCGCACAAAGGGCTGCGCTCCGCTCACACCCCGCCCGCCTGGAGGCCCGCCTGGAGGCCCGGCTGGAGGGGTGGGGAGGAAGTGGGAGGCCGGGCGCTAATATCACCGGTGGCCGCCCCCGGCCCGGCCCGCCCCGCCGACACTCTCCCACTCTCCCTGCTCTCCTCCGTTTTTTCCAGCCGCCGCGCCGCGCCCGTCCGGTCATATCCGGCCCCGCCGGAAACTGGGTAGGAAGTAGGAAACCGTTCTTCCTCGAGTGGCGCTATTAAGCGAAAATAAAAAGTTCAATAAAGTAAGAATTTATTTAGCTCGCCAAAAATTTCGGAATCGTGCAAGGGAAAAAAGTTATAGCTATAAGTATGTATTCGTAAGTTTGCTGCACAGCTACATAGGTTATAAGGCAGCTAAGAAGATATAGCACTTGCAAGTAGTGCTAAAAAGATTAGCTGAGAATACATTTTCCCCGCAGAGTGCACAAATTAGGTTACACTCGAATATGCTTTTTGTTTGTGTGTGTATACTTGGAATCATTTCGGAAATACTCTCGTCAAAACATTTAGCGGTCCACTTTTTTACGCCTGGATTAAATTATCCCCCCTAGCACCTAGGAAGTCGAGATTTGGCATAGACATGCATCCATGTGTTAGTTTAACATCCTCGAGCGCGAATGTCGTGCGACACCCCTTACGCGGTACGCATCCCATAATGATCACGGGGGTGGGGTAGAAAAGTCGAAAGGAAAAAACGTGAAAGGTTAGGGTAGAAGGTGGTGCCGGTAGAGGCTGAAATTTGGTGTACGGGTGTCCTAGGAACCAATTTGAAGGTTTTCGGCCCGTTCCACGTGGGACGTCCGACAAACCAACCCCTACCCTCAGTTACCCCCACCCTTTCAAAGGGGTGTGTTTTTGTTTTAAATTTCGAACGCTATTGCAAATCTTGTGGTTTGACGTGGGCAACGACAGCAAAATGCCTGTTTCACTTTCGCCCCCTCCCCCCTGGAGGGCTGTACTACCCCTTACTGTCCCATCCTTAACTGAAATTTCCACATTTTTCACACTAAGGCGGCCTGGAAAAGACTGGAAACTGCAGTTGAGAATGTGTAGGACGCACTACGCACTGAGAAAGTCCCCGGTGGGCAACGCGACGATTTTCAAAAACTACCCTTAGGGGAAGGGTGGCCACCCCTGTTACACTAACGCCCCTCAGGGGGGAGTGGTGGCAAATCTGCTTTACAGCAGCTTAAGGGGTCATGAAATGCACCTGTGATCAAAATTGGAACGCGGTAGGACTTTTCATTTTTGCGCAGCCCCGCGAAATCATTTTAAATAAAAACTCTATCGGCCTTTAACACAGATCTTATAAAGCGGTTTCATTATATCCAATCATATATATTATATATGGGTTAATAAGGGTTTTCTTTATATAACATATAAAACATAAGTATAATATATATAGTTAGATATAATGAAACCTTATTCAAGATAAATTAAAACATATTGGTTTGTATATATGTATATAGAGACATATATAGCTATATAAACGTTAATTTGATTCCATTTAGCACAAAATGTGTGAATTTGCTCAAAACCATCCCCTGAGTTTACGCCCCTCTCGCGACAAAGCAGGGTGGAATCGGACGGTCGCCCCTACGGTCACAGAAGAGCATAACCTTCATCTTTTTGGGTACTGAGAGCCAAGCTAAAAGAAGGTACTGCTTTGCACCGCGCCCACTTGGGGCCCACTGGCCGGTGGCTGACGAGCACACACACGTACTTGTCAAACTGGTTTCTCATCCGAAATTAGTTGACTTTAGTGCAAATTTGATGGATTATTAACGAGTCTAACAATCTTCTCGTCAAAATTTGCGGGGGGTGCGAAAGTGAAACAGGCACATTGCTGTCGTTGCCCACGTCAAACCACAAGATTTCCAATAGCGTCCGAGATTTCAAGAAAAAAACACCCCTTTGAGGGGGTGGGGGTAACTGGGGGTACTGTACGGGGTGGTTTGTCGGAGGGGGTGGAACGGGCCAACAACCTTCAAATTGGTTCCTGGGACAGCCGTACACCAAATTTCAGCCACTTCCGGCACCCCTTCTACCCTAACCTTTCACGTTTCTTTCGACTTTTCCACCCCCGTGATCATTAGGGGATGTGTACGGCGTAAGGAGTGTCGCACGACATTCGCGCTCGATGTTTTAAACTAAACACGTGGATGCATGTCAAATCTCGAGTTCCTATGTGCTGGGGGAGATAATTTAGTCCAGGCGTAAAAAAGTGGACCGCTAAATGTTTTGACGAGTGTAGTCCCACGAGAGTATAGTTTCTTTTGGTGGGGGTGGGGGGAAGTAAACGGCACCCACGGGAAAGTCTGATCGACCATACAAGAGCGAGGGCGCGGGTGACTCGCGTGCCCAAAGCCCCGGGGAGCGCGGTGAGAGAGCCGTCATGGGGAATGCCAAATGCGACGAGGGAGCCGGGAGGGGGTGGGGGGCCACGCGACGAGACCGACAGACGAGCGCCCGCCGCGCGGCAAGTTGCACGACGCGCCCGCGACTCCGCGCCCCGCGTCGGACCGGAAGTACTCTCGTCGGCCGCCCCGGAGGCCCACGGGAGTACCCTGGTCGGGCGCGCTACCCCGCGGGGACGAGGCTACCGCAGGGCCGCTACTCGGCGGCGTCAGGTCGCAACCCCCTCACTCTGGGTGCGCGGGGTAGCGCCGCGGCGCGCGGGGGGAGGCGCCCCACCCACACGGCCCCCGCGCCCTGGAAGAGCGGGGCGTCCAACACCCCCCGGATGTCATCCAGCCCACGATGCGCGCGCGCCGTGCGCCTTTCCCTAACTAGACTTTCAAATTTAAATCCACTCGACGTTAACAGAAACCCTTCACAGTGTCGTGCCTTTAACATTCGCAATGGACCCTAAAGGTGGACTGCGAGAATGTAAACGACACGCCGTGCAGCACCTGCTCCA